CAACACTCACCTCACTACAACATCCTTTCAGTTAGTTGTACAGAGCAACTAGTTGTAGAGAGAAACATCATACAGTACTAAATAAGAATATCGAAAGCAATACACAGTTATCAGTGAGGACAAAACCAGGCAAAGCAAATTAATTATACCTGCATTGCTACTAATTCTCTTCTAATACATCAATGAATCTGCAATTAGCAAATAATTCTTACTGTAGGTGGGCAAGTTGATAATTAAAACTTTATATTCAGTAACACTGTCTTGGAAGTAAATAGCAAGATAGATTGGAAGAAACTGTAAGTATTTATGCAGCTAATGGGGGAATGGAGTATAGCAGATATTCCTTAAAGCAATGCATTTCAGAACAGCTTGTATCAAATAACATCTTTAGCTGATTTTGCTGTTCCTATATCCATTTTGCAAATACTTGCTTACTAAGGGTAAATAAAGAATTGCCTTTCTTTTAGTTTGCTAGTTCTTCTGCAGTGACTACACGGAAGAGCTTGGCAAGCACACAGGTGGCAAGGATCCAGAGGGAAACAGATTTTCTCAGGTAAGTGACTTCTACTTGTAACATGTTTGACCTTGAAAAGTAAATGAGCAATTGCTTTTTGCAACCAACTTGATAATACTGTCAGGCTTTACAAAAAGGAGGAAAGCAAAGGCAGACACTGGCTCATAGGTGGAGAATGTGATCTAGGTGGAACTTCGAAAAATCTTTCTGTAACATGTAGCTGTATTTACATCTCATGGTACACAGTTACCAACTATAGACTCATCCTTTGAAAAAAAATCAGGACACCTGTAGGATTGGAGGAACAGCTGCCTTTTTAAATTAGAGTACAGCCCTCCTTGCTGCAGGTGAAAACTGCTCATTGGAGCAGTCTCACAGAAAGTTAGTCCTCCCCAGTATTGAAAGGATATGTGATCTGCTTCAGTGATTTCTTATGGTGCAGCAGTGAGGCCTGCTAAAGATTGCATGTCAGGAGACCTGTTTACCTCATGTGGTGAGGAAGAACATATGAAATTCCATTGGAGCCAGAGAGCTTTCTATTTTGCAAAGCTGTTTAGAGTTCAGAACCTCATATCATGGATGTTGGGGCACGGTCTGGTGGATCACCAGGGCTCGGAAACCACGACCAAGAAATCAGTGGCCTAAGCCCTGTCATGCCAGCTTCCAGATGAATCATTATGATGCAGCAGTACAATACCAAAAGAAGCTCAGCCATTTTGCTCTTCTTCTCAGATGTGCACACTGTTCTGCACCTCGCCTGTCTGACCCCCTGGCTCACTTCTGTCAGGAATGTGGATCTCCTGTCCCACCTGTGCCAGTGCATCGCTTCCCACCTCCCGAAGGAGCACAGGTCAGCAAAACATAACAAGCAACAAGTCCTCTCTGGAGAAACCAACTTCCTCAGCCAATGCTGGCAAAACCACTATTTGGTCACACTTTCATTTGGGAAGCTCTGTTCTGATCATTTTATTTTGCTTACTACCGGATGTAATCCTTAAATGATGGGCACAATTAACCCATTTTGATTGCTTCAAGTGCCGTATATTTTAATAAGGGTAACAATGAAAAATAAGCTGTGCTTTATTTGCTTGTTTCAGTAAACATCACAAAATCTAGGTTCCTCTTCATCCTGCAACAACAACCATCACATCTTCAGGACCTGCATATGCATCTTACTCTGGTTCTAAATAGTGCAGTTAGTTAGTACCTAGTGTCTATGTCATAGCTGTAGAAGACCCACCTGATATGCCTGAAACCTTAAATGCTGTTGTGTGTGGGCCTACATAAGAGCACTGAGTTTTTACAGTGATGCCCATAGCTATAATCTTTTCCCAAGAGATAATAAACCTGATCCAACAAGTCAGTGGTGCATTTTTTCCCCATATCATTAGAAAGTTGTCTTGTCTGGGGCAGTGTTGTAATTTCAAGTGATGGCTGAGAATAATCAGTACCTCTTTAGACTAGATTCATAATCAGGAGGATTTGAACTACCTGCACATATTGTGTAGTAGCATTTTAAATGTACTGAAAATTAACTTAGTATCTTTCTGGCATATTGCTAGCAGTCAGAAAAGCATTGTCTTCCCAGTTGTCTTAATATTTTCTCAATAGCCTCTAATCTCTGAAGGATCAGTGCCAGCATCTGTTGCTGTCAGTTGCTGTGTTCACAGCACTTTGTTGCTGGTGTACACTCTAACCAGGGAAATACTGAAAAATTCATTATAATCTTAATTATGTCATTATGGTCCTTAACATGCTGTGATGTGGCTTCTTCCTCAGATGGCCCCATGTCTGGAGTGCAGGCATCTTGTGCCAATGAACACCCCCACTTGCATTGTATGTGAGTCGCCAATAGCTCCACAGCTGCAGCCCCAAACCAACCTCTGCATAAAGGTACTTGAGAATAAGGAACAAAATAGCAATTCACCTGCTGGCACGTGTTTTTCTAACATTCATTCTTTGCAAATATTTTCATTCAGCTTGGTTTTGTGCAGTTATGACAGGTTCAACAGTTAGTCAGATTAAAACCACCTTGAATAGAAATAAGCATCAAAGATAAACCACAGCAGCTCAGGAAGGCACGTTGAGGAGCACATGATGTAGCAGTCTGAATGACAAAAAGCCATGCACTTGTGTTCAGTAGAGAGGTATTCTGTGACTTATGGCCTTAGTTTTACTAAGTATTTTAAGTTTATTGGATATGTCTTCATTATTCTGCTTCCCTCATTTGATCGTAAAAGCCTAGCACAGGTGGTCTGGCAGGACTGGGGCAGTGCTTATATGCCCAGAACATTAGAGTACAGTCTTGATCAGTGATCCAGAAGTGCTGGTGGACTTAACTAGGCAAAATTTGCCCTACAGAGTACTCCCTGCCTAGGGGTATGGGGATTATCTGTTTTGTGTGAGTGCAGTGACTAAGCAAAATTACACTAATAAATAAGATCTGGAGGTATTGATGCTGGATTTCCTGAGGAAACTGTACCATAGTTTTTAAAAAAACAAAACTCACCAAGATATGTAGACTTGTGATGACCAAGAAATATGGCATAGCTATAGTCTGAAGCCCACAGCACAGACTTGAAGGATTTCTTTTATCTGCAGGGCTGAATAGCCGCAGCACTTTGCAAGATCAAGTCTTCCTCTTGTTGTTGTTGTTCACAATTTTCAAGTAACATGTGAAATATATTATTTTTCTGTTTAAAAGGGTAAAGTAATTTGTCAGGTGTGTGGCACAGGAAATCCTCTTCACCATAACCACTGTGTGACTTGTGAAAGCAAGCTGCCTGAAATGCAAACGGTAAGGCTTCTTGCAACAATCACACTTGGGTTAATCAAATCCAAGCATAACATTCTTTTTCTTTGTAAAACTGAAGTCATATGCCTGTGTGCCTATGTTACAAAAGCAGAGACACTCTCTCAAAACCATACTCAAGCCCAGTACTTCATCACAAGTGTCCAGCTAAATTTAAGTGTATCGTATACCTTCAAGTTCCTCCTGTGGAGATGAGGATTGCAAATGCCATAGTGAAAGCTCAGAAGGCTCTGAAAAAGACTATCCAAGCCTAGTCTTGGCTACAGGATAGTCTTGTTTGTGTTCAGATTCTTTTCAGTTGCAATAGAAAGTGAGCATATACATCAGGAAGGTCATTCTCATGGATTTCAAGTATTTTGTGAAAATATTATTTTACATTTTGTTTTTTTACCTCCATTTGCTGCTTCACCTACGTGCCTACAGCTACTGTGCTTGTATTTGGCTGTGACT